TGGAGCCTGATGGGGAGTACTGGGGACAGGAGGTGAGGGGACAGCTACCAGGTAGAGAGTGGAGCCTAATGGGGCGACTGGGACAGGAGGTGAGGGGAGAGCTACCAGGTAGAGAGTGGAGCCTGATGGGGACACTGGGGACAGGGGTGAGGGGGGAGAGCTACCAGGTAGAGAGTGGAGCCTGATGGGGACACTGGGGACAGGAGGTGAGGGGGAGAGCTACCAGGTAGAGAGTGGAGCCTGATGGGGACACTGGGGACAGGAGGTGAGGTGGAGAGCTACCAGGGAGGCTCTTTTAAAGTATTTGAGTGAAACAGGGCTGATTAAATCATTTAAAATAACTTAAACACCGTGGTATTCTTCCACAAGTGGTGACAGGATGACACGGCGATACAGTATGCTCCTTATAGCTGTTTGCAATCCGCCAATAACCGAGAGAAGAAGAACATTATCCAGAAGAGTTACAGCCCTGTTTTTAAATACAGACCCCGACATTAAGCTGTTAGCTGCTACCTGCTACCTGTTAGCTGCTACCTATTAGCTGCACTCAGTAGGGATCGGTCAACAGCTGATCATCAGATTCTACAGTCGCTTGCAGCCTCTAATTTTCACCTGAGCTTCTTGTCAGTGTGTGGTTGTCTCCGCTAGGGGGCAGTATGTTCATGTGCTATGTTCACAGACTGTAGAAGCTCTAACTCTGTTTTGAAAATCCCTAACAGGAAGTGCTTTGTGTGACTGTGAGCCATCAGACCGGAAGTCCACGTCAGTCAGACGCGTTTAAAGCTCCGACTGTAGTTTTAGTTGAACTGTGGAAGTTTGAACTAGAGTTTGAATACTTTTTAAAGCAGTTTGTATCTAAAGCTGTTGTTCAGATGGCGGACGAGGCCACGCGCAGGGCGGCGTCGCAGGTGCCACTCCTGAAGACGCACGCCGGGCCGCGGGACCGCGCACTGTGGCCCGCGCGCCTGAAGGAGGAATACCAGGCACTGATTGGCTCCGTGGAGGCGAACAAGAAGTCAGACAGCGACTGGTACCGCCTCGAGAGCAACGCGGACGGCACGCGCTGGAGCGGCAGCTGCTGGTTCATCCACGAGCTGCTCCGGTACGACTTCCGCCTGGAGTTCGAGATCCCGGTCACTTACCCGGTCACCGCACCGGAAGTAGCTATCCCGGAGCTGGACGGCAAGACCGCGAAGATGTTCCGCGGCGGGAAGATCTGCCTCACGGAGCACTTCGCGCCGCTTTGGGCTCGCAACGCGCCGCGCTTCGGGCTCGCGCACCTGATGACGCTGGGCCTCGCGCCCTGGCTCGCGGTGGAAATACCGGACCTGATCAGCAAAGGGCTCGTGGTGCACAGGGAGCGGCAGGGTGACGCGGCAGAGTGATGAGGGAGCGGCAGGGTGACGCGGCAGCGGCAGAGTGACGCGGCAGCGGCAGAGTGACGCGGCAGCGGCAGGGTGACGCGGCAGCGGCAGGATGACGTCACAGGCTAATAAACACCTGGAACTGAACCCAGTGAAAGAACTGATGAGACTTTATTTTAATTATAAAATATAATTTAACATGTTGTGACGAAGATGAACTGAGAGGTCTCTGAAATAAAAAGTGATGACAAATGAAATGAGGTGTTTATTTTATTATAAAATAAGTGATTTTGGTGTAAGAAATGAAACACCTGAAAGGTAGATCTGATGTTTTGTAGAAACTAGACAAAATAATTTATCACAAACAAAATGACACGGTTTGTTAAATGATGTTAAAACAGAAACAGATGAAAACAGGAACAGAGTGAGAGGTCTCTGAAACTAAACTCAGATGAAATGAACTCAGGTGGTTTTATAAAAACTTTCACTTTTTGATGTTAGAGAGCACTCTCATAACGTAACACAATCAGAGACTGGATATATCCCCCCCTCTCTCTCTCTCTCTGGTCGCTGAAGTGGGGAATTGAAATTACGGGCCAAAAGTTGTATTTACAAGTATTAAAAGTAAGCATAGGACACCAAACCAAGTGAGACCCGTCTGTCTGTACTAGTGATGTGTCGGTCGCGAACGAGCCGATTCTTTTGAACGGCTCTTTGATATGAACGAGGGGAACCGAGTCGTACTTGGTGAGAGCCGTTCTTGTCATCGTTCAATCGTTGGTCCGCACTCACTGCCTGCCAAAATCCACTCGCCCTTAAAAAACTTGATTTTGTTCCCCGAACGTATTCTGTGAAGACCCGCCCCTACTCTGATTGGTAGGTTTCAGCATGAGGAGTGAGGTGGGGTGGGTCTTAACGGAATACGCGAGAGAGAGAAGTCATAACAAGTGGTACAGGACAGGTAGACAACGTGTTTTTCGGATGGAAAATGAGCCAAACGCGAAAACGCAGTTGGATGCTGGAGGCTACATTCAAAATACATTCACTGACATGAATATG